CCCCCCCCCATCATATTTTCTTCCTCCACCCATGAAGGAAGCTGTGGGTCCTCTGTTAACAAGCCAGGGGGAGCCCCTAACTGAAGATACGAAGAAGGCAGTTACTCAACAGGTACTTTGCCTCAGTCTTCACAAAAAATTAAGCTGCCAGACACTTAATAGGTATTATCTGGATAAGGGAGGGGGCAAGCTGAGGGAAGAGATAACAGAAGAGATGGTCAGAGAGCTTCTCTTGGATCTGAATGAATTCAAGTCGGCAGGGTCAAGTGAACCTCATCCCAGGGTCCTGCAGGAACAGATGGAGGGGACCTCGGAGGCCTTGACAGTGATCTGCATGAAGCTGAGGGACATGGGCCAGATACCAGAGAACTAGAAAAGGGCCATTATGGTACCTCTCTTTAAAAAGGCCAGAAAGAGGACCTAAGGAACTACAGACTGGTTAGCCTCACCTCAATACGAGGGAAGTTACTGGAGCATATGCTAAGGAAAGCCATTTGCAAGTATCTGGAGGAGGAAAGACTGATAACAAGCAGTCAGCATGGATTTATGAAAAATCATGTCAGACAAACCTGATCTCCTCCTTTGATAAACTACTTGGGTAGATACAGGTAATGCTGTGGATATAGTGTAACTGGATTTCAGCAAGGCTTTTGACAAGATCCCGCACGGCCTCATAAACAAATTGGAAAAATGCAAGCTGGATAAAACTACTACAGAGTGGATAGATAACTGGCTCAATTGCTGTAAGCAAAGGGTAATGATTAATAGGCCAATGTGAGAATGGCAGCAGGTTTTGAGTGGAGTCCCACAGGGGTCTGTTCTGAGCCCAGTGCTGTCCAACATTTTTATTAATGATTTGGATGTTAAGACAGCTTCTTGGCCAAGTTTGCAGACAACTCAGAACGGAAGGATTGGGAACACGTTGGAGGATGAGAGCGCTGTTCAAATGAAGGCCTCCTCGCCTGAGCACTCCCCTTACTTTGGATGTTTGATGTTCTAGTTCATATTCTAAATCGACATGGAAGAAAATGTCCATTTTTGCATTTTTTTTTTTTTTTTTCTTATTTTCCATCGAGAAACTAGAACTCATCTGTGCAAGAGAACAGAGGATATTAGCAGCTTCCTATTCCTGTTTTGGGGGAAAAAAGGAAACTGGTTAAAAAGGAGGCAAGAAAAGATCTTCAAGAGCTGAGGAGAAGGAAGCATGTTAGTTGTTGTTCAGGAGATTTAAGCACCATGAAACATATTTATTGTATTTCAGTATTCAATAAAATTTCAGACTTACCAATTTTTCTACATGTATTGTTTTATTTGGAGAGGTCACAAAGAAATCCCTTTCACTTTTTTCAGTTCTGTCTCAGTTCTTGCTCCTAGATACGTGTGCAGATTCATGATTCATGTATTCTCTCTCGTAGTGATTCACACACTCTGAGTCATGAATTCCCCGAATCATATTAGCATAAATGGGTGAAGGATTGGATACGGTGCAATGGAGGGGAGATTTTTCTTGTTTGACTGATTCTCAAGATGCTACATTTAGGTCAGGCATTGGCTCTTAAGGGAAATCTGAAGAAAGTGACTGCAAAATGACTGCATGGAAGCAAGCATTGTAACAAATTTAGGATTTGTCTAAGGCTATTTTTAAGTAAATTGGTTTTGTGATTTTTCTTCATTTCTTGGCCAAGTGTGGCCATCAGAGTTGTGAGTCAGATGCCTGATAGGCAGAATGTGTCCCAAATATGAATTTATATTGTTGTTCTGTTAAAGCCTGACTTTAATGCTGCTCATTTTATTTCCTTCACGCACAAACTGTTGCTTCCTGAGACCGAGTTACTGCTTGAAATCTCTTCTCCTCGTGTTGTTTTTTTTTCTCTGTGTTTTTAAAAATATATTCTCAGGTAGTATATTATAAGAATTGCCATATTTGGTCATTTCTTATGCAGTCCCCTATGCTCCATGTTCTCGCTGTTGTAGTCTACTCGGGGCATGTTGAAATCTCCATAGAAGTAGTTGGAATGCTTTTTAAATGGGTTCAGATTTTGCAGTCCACTTCAAAGCTCTGGCCAAAGTTGTGGCAGACCCAAAAAAGTTCCCTGTCATCTTTGAACATGAGGGTGTCAACTGAGTCTTGGGTCAAGACAGTAGGTTTCATAAAACGTTGATGATTGCATCTGAGGTCAAATATTTGCAATGCAGAGTTCTCGCAAATGATGTTCTGTCCCGGATAGCATCATGGTATTTTTGATGGCGAGATGAGAAAACCATTAACACAGGAAAGACTATTGCTGCTTTCTGTAGTTGACTGACACTTTTTTTTCAAACGTTTTTGCAGGTGTACAAGGGAGATGAGACGACATTCCAAATCTCAGGCCTTCAGGTCAACACAGACTACCGGTTCCGTGTCTGCATATGCCGCCGATGCTTGGATACCTCACAGGAACTTAGTGGACCTTTCAGCCCATCTGTTGCCTTTCTACTCCAGCGAAGTGAGCTCATGCTTTCAGGGGAAATGGGAAGTGTAGATGATCCTAAGATAAAGAGCATGATGCCTACTGATGAACAGTTTGCAGCCCTAATTGTTATTGGCTTTGCAACTTTGTCAATTGTATTTGCCTTTATATTACAATACTTCTTTATGAAGTAGAGAATCCAATGACAGTTTGAAGTATGAATTTAACTAATGCTACGCATTATAATCCACACATTTATTCAGATATTCCTTTTTGAAATCTTTTTGTTCTACCATGCATTTTATATATTTCTCTTGTTTTTACAGTTCTAGCTAAGAGAAAGATAAATCAGTGTTTTGATGCACCTTTTTGAAATTCAAAACTTGGAAGTGGTCAAACTGGAGAAATGAACCAGATAATAAAAGCAACGGTTTGTTTTTTTCCTTCACAGTTTCAGAATTGTCACCAATTTGCTGTTACATTGTTTTATTTTTTTATCACAGAAGTCCTTACAGTCTGTCTTGTACTGTTACTTTTTAGCAAATTATAATCATCAGTCACTACTTTTCTTTATCTGTAAACTTTAATCACAAGTGTGTATAGTGGTAAGGCTAGAATGAAGTGTTAGTCAGCAGTACCAGGTTTTCATTGAACAGTATTATCAATGTTACCTATGATTATTCACTACAATACATTTGCCCCAGTTTTTTTCAAGATACATTGTACACTCACTTACTTTAACTATGCTTAGTGCATTTAAATCAAACAGTATACTGCAGTCTAAAACCTTTTAATGATCTGTTACTTTTACAGTTACAACACTATGAATTGTCTATGTAAGAAATCAAAGCCAAACTGCATATAAATTATGAAGCATTAGGTTTTTTTAATCATTTTGATTCATAGCAGTAACTTTAAGAGGGCATTGTGCAATAGTTAGTTATTCCCATGTTCAGCTGTTCAAAGCTGCTTGACCCTGTTTATTTGTCATTGTATATAACTACTCCTAATCTAATCACTAGATATTATTGTATTCTATTACGTTCAGTCTGATTTATGTAATTGGAGCTGGTGACAGCTTACTGCCTCTACTGATCATGTAAGATTTACACCCACAAGCAGCTTTTTAGTCAATCAGTCACTTTTGAAGAAGGCTGCATTTCTTGGCGGTATCCATTATAAGACCAGATAATTCATCTGATGCCTATATTCCTATTATTGCATCAAAATATTGGATACATTGCAAAAATCAGAGCAAGAGTGATCCAGATTTATCTTTTTGTTCTTGCGGCAGTGGCCCATACATGTTTTAATTCATGGAGATACTAGATTTTTAACAAAGTCATTTGGGTTATTTATATTGAAGTCAACAATGTGCAAGTACCTCAGGGACTTAAATGAGCTGGAGGTGCAAATCAATTCCAAAAGGGTGCAACAGACACACACCATGTATTTCCCTGCCTCTTGTTTTTGTATATTTTTGCTATATTTTGATTTTGCTTTTGTCATAGCTATTTCGTGCTCTATGTTGTCTAAGATTCAGTGTCCTGTACTAGCATACTATTCCCTTAACCAAAGTAATGGGGAAACCAACATTATTTTGTTTTAGGTTTATTTATACTATATACTGCATACAGTACTTTAAATGCCAATTACAGTGCAATCTTTTATTTATTGTAAAAAAAAATAAATAAAAAATAAAAAGTGTACTTATGTACTAATTTTTCCCCCCTTGTAGCATGTTATATTTTGTCTGTTTTATACTGTCGTACTTTTTAGGTCCACTTTTTCACCCAGCAGCATTCCTAGTATTATTAACCTTCTTATGTTTTCTTGTGTTTTTGAAGATGGGAGCATCTAGTGCATTCAATGCCAAAAAAAACCCATTATCAGTGATTGAAACGTTTACATGCATCCAAAAAGCATAATCATCTCTTGAAAGAAAGTGCTAAGATCAATGAATTCTTCTGTGTGCCTCTAGATGTAGCAAATATTAGAAATGTTTGGTATTTTGTTAATGACTATAATTAGTTTAATTTAGCCTTGCAAACTAATGACATTGAACTAAATATATATATATATATTTTTTTGTTTCTGCCAAAGTCGTGGCTTGTCAAATTTATTTACATTTTATTTAAATTTATTTGTGATATGGAAATGTTGTGACCTTGCCTTACATCTGTATTTTTTGAGCAAAGCATACGCAACTGTTTTCAACAGGGGGAGATCAGGTGTATTTTTTAAAACAATGAAAAACACAGTGATTTGGAAACTCGCATTTGAATTATTTATCCCTTTTTTATTTTGGAATACTCTTTTAGCAGTGCTGCTACAAAATCCAGGCCTGGTGTCTTTTTTTTTTAATGTGTTTTAGGTAATTTGTTTCAAAATGTTGCATATGTGGGGTGTAGCAGCAAGCAGAAGTGTAGAGAACAGAAACCTGTAACACTTTATGTGAAGTGTTTTTGACACGACTGATTCATTTGGTATCTCATCATAATGACAACAGTCAAAAAATCCAGCTCAACTCCCATTGAAGGTAGTGGTGAAAGACTTTTATGGGATTTGGAACAGGCCCAGAATAAGTTAATTTTATATCTTTATTTACTTTGTATATACTGCCATAGCAATTCTGTTATAATTCATCTTTAATGTAAACATAAAATAAAGTGTTACAGGTTTAAACCTTTCCTCTTTGTACTTCCATTACCAATTAATGCAGTTTACTGATGCTTCAGGTTTTCCTCTGTCTTTATACCCTTCCTTGGCCCAGTCAATATTCATCACATGAACCAAATTCCAAAGCCCTCTGCTCTTCATGAAATTGTTACAGGAAAAAAAGGAAAAAAAAAAAGGAAAAATAAGTATTTTAAAAATTATTAAAAAGGAAAGAAACATTTTATATTATCTGCCTTTTTTCTTTTTGAACTTGAAATGTAGTTTTCTAATCTGTTTTGTTGGCTACAGTAGTTCAGTATTCAATGTCACAATTGAGAAGTGCCCTAATTGAATGTGTATGAACGTTATCCTTGCACAATTCTTTAAATTGAAAAAAATAAAATAAAAATGTTTTTACCTCACTATGGGAACATACATTCCAAGCTTTTCAACTCTGAGAGAAATAATCATAAGTTTTTCTTGTATTGTAAATTTTAGACTATTTCATAAGCATTGTATTAAAACTGCCATATCAATTTTAATGTATAGATTTTGCAAATACTACGCTATGTATGTAAGACTTAACTGTATCTGTAGTGTATATGTAATATATTTATGCCCAATAAATGTTTTAATTCTTTCTGACATTAGCAGAGATGATTTCTGACTTAAAGTTCTCCATCCATTCACATTTTTTCCTGCTGTTCCCATCAGATAATGGAGTTACAGCAATGCAAAGTTAGCATAAAGAGCTGTAAATCAAGTTATGTAGATTGCTGGTTTGAAAATTTAATGACTTTCCATTTTTGAGCAAGGCTCATGTTCCCCTTTTGAGTTTAGTATGATAGTTAGCCTCTCCTGTGATCATATCAGGATTATCTTTACCAGCTATTAGGAGAGTGCATGTTAAGTGGCTGTCAAAGGCCATTAGCTTTCTGTAGTTATCCTAATGGATGCTGTAATCCCACCAGATCACTAAAATCAGCCTTGGGTTAATTAAGCCTCACTAAAATAAAAATGAGCAACCTGGATGAACTCTGGCCTTTTTCCTTTGTTTTTCAGTGAATGTTGTCCCAACCCCTTGCGTCTCTCGTACTACTTCACCCACTAGAAGAGTTCCACCTTCTTGTATCTTCATGACCAGTCTGCTGGAAAGTTGGCCAGTGTGCTGCCATGGCGTGATTACAAATCAGACAAATCAGCAGCAGGTGTATTGGCCTCTGGTAGCTGAGCAAATGCAGATACCTCCACCCGAGCATGGGTCAAGCCTCGTTTCCAAGCATGAGATCTCCTTTCTCAAGCTAACCTGGAACACACTTCAGGTTCCTTCTCCTCTCCACTGAAAAGCAAATTGTTGGCAGATTTCCAAATGGGGCTTCATTCTTTATTGTGACTCTTAGGTGCCTTAAGGCTTTGATCTAACACACCTATTAATGGGAGTGAAAGGCCTGCCATTGACATCAGCTGGCTTTGTCAAGGAGTCAGATTAGTTTGAGATGCCTTAAATATGGGCATGTCAAAATATTGAAACTTGGTGTTAAAGCTAGGCCCTTAATTTCAGAAGCATGGATTCGGGTGCATATTGTTTCTTATACATCCACATTTAAAATACGGGCTCTTACCTCTGTGCTGCTTCCTTGTGTGAAACTGGAAGTGATACAGACCTGTGTCATGAAGTTTGGGCTTGTGAAGTGCTGGACAAGTGCTACAGTTCACCAAATGCACTCAAAACCTGTCCCAGAAGTGCCAGATACCTTGCCAACTAAGGGAGGAAGATAAATTACTGTGAAACCTTTTTCCAGTAGTAGGGCCACTGTCACACCATCCATGCTGTTTGTGTGTGCAGGAGGATGCAAACTAAAGGGCAAGGTTAGTTTGTGTTGCACCAGAAAATGGACGTTACCAAGCTTGGTCAGACCATTGGTCCGTTTAGCCCAGCATCCGGTCTCCTGGTCAGAATTAGGTGAGTGGGAGAAAGTTGTAGAATTGTCCTTGCAGAAAGTCTCTCCTGGATTCCTTGAAGTTAAATTTTGGTTTTTTCTCTGACATAAAAGGGCATCTCAGACTCTGGATGTTCTTGGTACCCATAATACCTTCTTTATGAATTCTGCTAAATTCTTCCCATTGATTATATATTTTGGTAGCCAGTGCCCCAGCCATTCTGTTCTAGTAAGTGCTGACCACTAGGAATCAAAAGCTGATGGGAAAAAATCTTAAAACTCAAGTTTATAAATATTTTTATTTGCTTTAATATTTTTCTGAAATACTGAAGAATGGGTGAGACGAGGCATATGAAAGTACATCAGTATTTGTGACTTTTTTTGGGGGGGGGGGGTTTTAAGAAGGGCTGGATCTTCTCACTGAATTGGCAATTAAATAGAATTTAGCTCATTTGTTATAAAGAACTCCCTATAAATGTCTGTGCTTTGTTTTGAAATAATTTATGCATATTTTACACTGTGTTGAAGCTCAAAAGCACTGTATAAATGCTATGGTTTATTTTATATGTATTTTTTCATTACTACAATTTACCTAATATGCATGCCCTTTTCAAGAAAAACTAACCACTTATTTTCATTCGACCTCTCAGCATGTTCTCCTTGTTCCTTTCTCCAGCTGTTACCAAGATGGTACCAATGGAAGGCTCAGATTTTTCAACTGGATAATAATCATTGTATTTTACAGGAAGGATCAAACTTTCTTCTTTGTTGAACATACATCCCAACATTGCGTTACATTATTATCATGAGGGCTTTAGGGTAAAATGGCAGGTTCTGATTTGCTAATAAGATAGTGTGGTATGATGTTTTATGGTGCTGCTACTGTCTTGAATTGTATATAATTCATGGTGCAGTCTAAGAAAAAACACGGAGTTTCTGTAGAAGCCCATTCCTACAGAGCAGGGCACTTTTAAAGAGCGGCTACTTCAGAAAACGTTTATCCCTCGCCAGATAGGGGGATATAAATGGTGATGATGATACTAATAAAAGTAATAACAATAATAGTGATAAGGGGAAATTGGACTTTGCAACCACAGCTGATACTGCAAACTTTTCTGGAATGCTACTTTGTCATTGCCTAGTCAGTCCTTCACTACAAAACCTTTCCATACTCTCTCGCCAAAGTAGGGGCAATTTAAGGTGGCATCCCATCAGCTAGAGTAGGCCTGGGAAGATCATTTAATCAAAAGCAGAGTAACCTATCACAGCATGCTCTGCTCTCTTGTGGGACCTTTTAAAGCAGATGCAGCGTGTTTCCAAACTGAACAGCAGCTAATCTATATGATAGTTTGAGGATCCAGAAATGAAGCAGACTATTCTGTGCAGTCCTAGTAAAAGCCAGTCATGGATGTGACATGCAAAGCTGCATCGACTCACCTACCCATCAGGGCTGGCTCGATATTTTAACACAAGTGGTTCTTTTTCAGTCAGAAGAAAACCAAGTTGAATTACTTCAGAGCAGTCCTTTTATTCCAGAGTTTGGATTGAGCTCAAGAAACTATTTCCATGCAAGTATTCTCGTTCCCCTCTGAACAGAAGAAAGAAAAGGTTTCTCTGAAGTATATCAGCAGTCATAAAAGTTCAGCTGTCCTCACAGTGCTGATGCATGGGGTCATATAATGGCAGTGGAAGCCTGGTACTTCATCAGGTGTGTCCACTCAAGTCATAAATGCTCTGAAGAGGTAAAACTGAACTTGGAAAACTTCCACACTATCCAGACTACATCTTGCTGCCACACTACACAGTACGTCGTGCTGCCACTGTGTAAGAGCTGGGGAAACAGGTCTGAGAAGTACTGCCGGACTGTGTTTCCATCTCCAACGGGCAATTTCAGCAGACCACTTTGGGCTTACTTTGTCAGGGGACATGTCTTTCTAAGAGGCAATTACAGCTTTGTGGTAAGTGATGGCTGTGATTGGAAAAGCAGGGAATCCTGTTAGACTTTTCCATGAAAACTTCCGCTTCCTTTTTAAACGCAATCCATGCACAAATCACAGACGTCAGCGAGGCTCTGAGGACCTTAACACCCCCAATATATTTTCATAAGCTGGGTTTGGTGTCTGGCACTTCTCTCTAACCACTTTCGTACTTGTCTCTGACACTTGTCAGAGGTGAGCCTTAAAAATATAGCTGGCACATGCATGGAAGTGAATTTTTAAGCAGCTAGATGGTAAGACAGTCCCCAACCTTGCAAAGTGTTAAGCAGCTCCAGAGAGGTGCTGAGCGTACTAAACTCCACTGAACATATGCAGCTCTGCAGTTGGGTGGTGAAAAGAAACTGATGATGCTCATGCTGTTTCTGGCAGCAACAAGGCCATCAGTCTATTAGCTGTTTCCTATGCTGAATTTCCATCTGCATAGTCGAGAGTGTATCCATGGGGTTTGAAGGTGAACCAGGTTTAAAAAACAGACCCTGGCAACAGCCTTTCACCCAGAACAGAACTGGAACATTTCTTGAGGTATGAGTGAAGCCTGAACAGCTTAATTTATTATAGCGATGCAATGAAACCCCTATAGTGTCATTGATCCTCATCTGAATCTGGCAATTTTGCTCAATCTGTCTAACGAACAAACCTGGTTTTGAAATTTTGTGTAGGTTCCAGATACTTAGCGTTTGCCTCGATGTAGAGCGATGGTGCAGAGATCATTTATAGTTCTCCCTGTAGATATGGACCAGATGTAGGTAGAAAAAGGAAGGCCTGGACAATCTCTGAATCCTGTTAAGGTGAGCAGAAGCTCATCAGAAACCCTTGAAATGGCTGGTTCTTCATATCTATAAAGAAGATTTAAATTGCCACCTGTGTTCGGACTCTTCTGACAATCTGCAGATTCTTGGCTGGATGAAAGAGAATAAAAAAGCTAAATTCCACTTGTAACTTCCAAACCCAAATGGTCTAGCTTATGGGCTACTGTTTAGTGATGTGCTGCTTGTTCACTTGTGTAATTGTTTCTTGTCATTATTTTAGTAATTAGGATAAATGTCTTGGCACTGAAGTAATCAACAAGTTTTACAGTGGATTTTAACTTTAGTAGTAAATTAATACACAGCCCAACCTGCTCAGCAATTATGGTCCTTGGCAATTGCACTGGCTTTTCTCCCTCCCTGAATTTCTTAAGGGAGTTGTTAGTCTCCCTCAGTAAAATAGGACTAATAGTACACTCCACAGCAGTGTTGTGAGAATTAATTAATATATGAATGGAGCTGAGAAACTAATGCAGAATGAATAATTTATGTATTAAATGTGACTCCATTTTCTAGCCACCGAATGTTTGTGAGCTCATTGCAAAATTCCTCAAATTGGATGACTAACCAATACTGCATATTCCAATATTACTGGTAGATAATAAACCCTGCTGGCAGATCTGCTCTGAATTAAAGGTGATGCCGCTGAATTCAACGTTGTGTGTTTATGGGTTAGAAGAGATGCGTGTACCTGGGTACAGGGCGCATTAAAGGTTACTAGAGTGCATAGAGGCTACTGCAAAGGGAGAAGGAGGAAGAAAATCTGGATCTGTGGTCCGGCCAGTGCCGTGGGTTGCATGTTTGCTTACGTATGTGACGGTATTTCATCTCTAGCTTTTGGCAGCTGCATTAAAAAATAAAGGGTGCTCTGGTTTGCTGTGTGTGAGGGATAACTAGACTTG